GAGCAGAGGCTAGAAGGAAACATTCTGTTCTGATACACACACTTTTGTTTCCAAGTCCCATCAGCAGAGATTAACAAAGCAATAGATACATCCATCAATGCATGCATTAATTAAATTGTTTAATATGTAAGGAAATTACTTGAATAAGTCTCCTTTTGCTTGCACATGGGCCCAGTAGCAAACCACGCTAACACTGGTATCGTTGGAGAGGAAAGCTCTGCATATATTTCGATTCTAATCTGTTAAAGTCAAACTTGATTTGATTGAAAAAGAAGAAAATGGACATGCAAGTCAGAAACCTTTTTACAAACAAGAGCACACATACCTTTATATATCAACATCTTAATAAATTTGCATTAATTATCAAAACATTAAGTAATGCAAGGTAATTCCCAAGTAACAAGATGTACAATTCAGTGAATAAATATGATCTCTTGTAGCAATCATGTTTTAGGGGATCTGAGCCCATCACACAGATGATTACACCCATGGCCAGGAACTGTATTTACCTGGTATCTTCTTAGAAACCCCAGACAGACAGACACGTAGGGATCTGCTTAGATTTATTCTTTGTCTTTGATAATTGGGCTCCAGGGTTGGCGAGGTGTGAGCATTAGCTGACTTTCTCTGCTGATTTTTGAAGAATAACTCATCCTGTAGTGATGCCTGAACTAGAAGTTTCCGGGTTTTATGGAAATAATGTATCATTACTAAAAGAAAGTTGAGAAAGGTCAACTAAGGAAAAAAAATGCCACCCCACTTAGCAACTATTAAGAGTTCTGTACATTTCTTCCTATGTATTCTACTCATTGGTAGACTTTAAATTGGTAGTTGGGGTCACAATATGTAAATTTGATGGTTTGCATTGTTATGTCATATTATACACTGATTAACATAAGTATTAATTTTTATCTGAAGGTTTAAAAATTCATAGTCACCATGTTCCACACCTGTTTGGAGCACAAATTTGACTAGATAAGTGAGAGAGACAGAAGAGAGGAGAGAGGACATGTGTGTGTGCGCGTGCGTGCGCGTGTGTGTGTGTGTGAGAGAGATCTGTTTGCCTCTGAGTACTGGGATTACATATAGTTGTGCACCACCATGCTGGGCTTATGTGGTCCTGGGGATTCGAATCCAGAGCTTTGTGTATTCTAGGCAAGCCCTCTACCCACTTCGCCACATGGCTTTTCCCCCTTTGGGCAGAATTCCACCCCAGAGCCGTCTGTTTATCCACACTTCACCATAACCTCAAGAATACTGCCACATTCCCCTGGCCTTCTTAATTTTCTTGGCTGAAGTTTTAAGGAATAAGATTTTACCACATGTAAATGAACCTCTTCATGGTGCTTCGTGCAAACACCGTGATACCTCTCACAGGACCCATCAGAAGAACTAGGAAAACAATGCCTGGCTATATGTAGGCTCTGGGGTTGGCAGAGGCCAGTGACAGCAAACCTCAGGGACATTGAAGTCACCTTGCTTGCTAGCTGGCTCATACAATCCCCCCAACTCTGAGCCCGAGTCACCAAAGTCCAGGTGTTTTCGCTATGGCTCCAGAGAGCCCCTGGTCCCTCCCTCCGCCTGGGCGCCTTGGCCTCTGGGAACCCTTTCTCCGCAGCACTCCCCACCCCGACTGGATTTTCCGGAATGATTTCATTGCACTGCCGATTCTGATTGGCTTGCGCTGTCTTGGTGAATCTGACTGGCTTTCTCTAGACTGGTATTCTTTAAGGATTCTAGGTAGCTGAAGTTTGACTTCTAAAATGGAGAGTTCAGAGTGGAACCTAGAAATATCTAAGGTGCTTTAGATGAGCGTGAATATCGAAGATGTCCACATCAGTGCAAATCAGACCCATTTGTGAGCAGCAGCCCTGGGGTGCATGGGGGTTTGTGGGGTGTGGGGTGGGGTGGGCAGCTAAGCGCAGAATGCCCACTTGTTTTGAACAAATCCCCACTGGATGGATCGCACCAGGTAACTGGTATGGGGTGATAGCTGTTGATCCTAAGTGATGATTGCTTTCTCAGTTACAGCTGCTCACCCAGGTGCCACTGATGTAAATGGATTGATTAGACAATGGTTTCCTCCCTCCCTCCCTCCCTCCCTCCCTCCCTCCCTCCCTCCCTCCCTCCCTCCCTCCCTCCCTCCCTCCCTTCCTTTCTAAAAATATTTTTGTGGTTCTGGGGACTGAACTCAAGGCATTAGGGGTGCTAGTCAAGCCCTCTGTCCCTGAGCCTTACACTAGAGCCAGAGAGTGGTCTATTCCACAAAGTCTAAAAATCCCGTGTATTAGGAGTATCTTTGAAAAAAAAAAGATGAACCTTTCCTAGTAAGAAGAAATTACAAATTGAAATTGGCCTTGAGTGTGGCTTACTTGATTCTGTGTCCTGCTTTGTAATACTTAGGGTTTCCAAGAAAAATTAAAGTTTGGAGCCATGGCGCCACCTGGTGACGAAAGGAGGCTTTTCAGGCAAACATGAATTTGGACTTTTGAACACTGTAACTGAACGAATGCTGCAGCAGCCATCTTGTGTCTCACATTACTTACTCATTAATGAACAGGTGTGGTCTGCTTCCCTGGTGCTCTGGTCTAGTGGAGGAGAAAGAGGCTCCCAAGGAAATGGCCAGAAAGTTACTTGCAGGGGTGGGGGTGTTTAAGAAAGAGTCTGCCTTCGAGGATCTGTGCTGCTGAGTAATTGGTAATTCATAAGCAACAGAAATGTACTTCTCAGAGTTGTGGAGAAGAAGTCCAATATCAAGGTGCTAGAAGGTTCTGTGTCTGGAGAGGGATCTGGCCTCTCCATCCAAGATGGTGCCCTGAACCTGGGTCCTGTGTCCTCTTAGCAGCCGGAGAAAAGAAGCCATAGTCCCCCTCAAGCCCCAGTCCTGGAAGCTGTAACCCTTGGGCCAGACTCACATGGGAGAGCTTGTGTCTGGCTGCAGGGTCAGTGGGGACTTTGAAACTGGCCTTTGAGTCCTCTATGTTCTTCCCAGCAACCCCTCCCGCACAGTCCTCGGTAACCCCGGAAAGCCATTGGTTCACTTGTGGTGTCCTTACTTTCTTCTGTCATTGGTTTCCTGTCTGGGGTGAGTAGATGTTTGTCCATGACTCTCCGGGAAAAGTGTTACACAATAATCAGAGAGCAAGTCTGTCCTTGATTCCAAATCTGAGTTAGATCCTGCATGCAGTGGGAAGACATGAGCATTTCAAACCTTGTCAGGACAAAATAACCTACAAAAACATTGGAGCCAAATACAAATTCCCAGGATGTGGACTTGAATGCCCAGGGAATGCAGTTATGATCCTTGGGCGCCCCCTGCAGGGACAGGACCAAATTACTTCCTGCTAGTGAGATTTACCCATTCCTGCCACTCTGACTTAAAGTTGTCCCCCATCCATGCTTCAGTTTTTTTTTTTGGGGGGGGGGAGACACCCACATACATACTACCACAAAATGGCAAACACACTCATTATCCCTGTGTGATACAGTCTAAAGCTGGGAAATGTTTGGACACATTGTAGCGTACGTTTGTTTCCAGTTGGTTTTGTGTTTTCTATGTCTTCTTTCTTGGCTCCCCAGGGGAGTTCCCAAGACAGAGCTGCCTATGTCCCTTATCTTTTTGTGCGTCCTTGCTGTGGCAGTCAGTCCCATTTACACAGATCACCTTTTCTGACACACGGTCCTTATGTAGGTATCTGGCTGTGACCTGTCTCCTATCACTAGGTGGTAAGTTGCACGAGGACGGGGTGTTTTATCCTTTTTGACATGCAGCATCCAACCTGGCATCCTTTTGGTCCAGTCAACACGTTATCAACTACAGAGTCTCCACTAACCACTGCAGCCAGACACTAGCTCCCCCTTCTGAGTGGCTCCAAGGGTTATAGAGCCAAGGACCCTTTCACAGGGGTCACATATTAGTTATCTTGCATAGCAGATGTTTACATTACAATTGATAACACTAGCAAAATTACAGTTATGAAGTAGCAATGAAATAATTTTATGGTTGGGGAACTGTATTAAAGGGTTGCAGCATCAGGAAGGTTGAGAACCCCTGCACTACAAGCAGACCGGTGAGATCCGTCCCTCTCCTCTGTCCCCTTATGCATGCCGTGTGAGGATCGAGGCTTGATGAAGCCACAGGAGGGACTTCCAAGGACGCACAGAGTACCCAGCCCAGTGCCATGCTTTTATTGTGTTGCTGTTCAAACCCGTCCCCATCCCGATCCCACATCACTTGCTTGGCAGATGAGATAATGACCCGAGCTCCGGTGTTCTCAGCTCTTTTGCCCTTCAGAGCTGTTTTCCAGCACAGTGTATTAGCTCTGGGAAGTTAACAGCGGTCCTGGTTGCCGAGGAAGCCTCAGGCCCACCAGGTCCCTGGGAGGACAGGCCTTCTCAGGCTAACATATTTGAACAAGTAGCAGATATACAGCTGCCCTCCCTCCCTTCCTCCCCCCTCCCGCTCTAGATCCTTTTGGGGTCACCTGCCTTTGGCTTCATCCACTCCTGGCTGCCCAGTCCATTTTGGTGTCCTCTGCAGTGGTCAGAGGACACAAGCTAAGGTCAACTTCAAGTGTGGCCCGCCCGCCAGTGCCTTCAGCTCCCTCCTCCCCCCCGCCTCCTGCATTGTTTAGTTTATTTTAATGTGGGCTCTGGGGATCGAACTCAGATCATCATGCTTGAGTGGAAATACTTTACTGAAGGAGACGGAGCAACGCTCGCCGCTCCTTTTTTAAGTCGACTTGCTGAATAAATGGGAAAGGAATTTCTCATTCCTTCGGTTCGCCCTGCTGGTGCCCAGCGCTCCCCCTGCTGCCCATGGCCGGAATGTCGGGCGGGACAACTGGCAGTACTTGGTGTTTATGCCCTCCGAGAGTAAAGCTGCATGTCCCTTTAATTGGAACGTACCAAGTCTCTCCAGGTTAGAGTTTCTTCCAGAGTCCTCGTCTTCGTAATTCACGGCCAGATTCCTCGCTGGAAGCAGTGTGAAGAGGCACTGCTGTGTTCTAGCGAGGGTTTGGGTCAGCAGGGCCCGGGAGGGACCTCGGGGGGTGGCGCGCACCAGGATGGTCCACCCCTGCGCCCCGTGGTGCAGTCCAAGATGGCGGCCACCATGAAGAAGGCGGTGAGTGCGGCGGGGCCGGGGTCCGAGGCGGCGTGGGCGCGGCGGCCGGGGTCGGAGGAGATGCGGGGCGGCGGCTTTGAGGAGGCGCGGGGGGCTGGCGGCCGGGGGGCTGGGGAGGTGAGGTATCCGAGGCGCCGGGGCCGCGGGGTGCGCAGTGCCGGGCCCGCGCTGGGTGCACGGTGCGGTCCCCGTCGCTAGCCTGCTCGGGCTCGCGCATCTCCTCGGGGACCGGGTTGGTCTCTGCATCCCCGCATGCTGATGCCGCAGCCTCTGTGCTCGCTCGATGCACCTGTACCCTTCGGGCTAGAAGTAGTGTTTACTGACGGTGGAGGGGTCGGCCCCGGGAGCGTGTGCTTATTACCCAGGCGTTCCCCAGCGACCCGGGAAGGACTCGGGTCCCCCACTCCTCCCCGCACTTGACAGCTGTGGCCATCCCTTGGTGACTCATCTGGCAAGATGCTGGGTCAGGTGATCTGGTCTGTTCCCGTCTCAGCACCTTTATTATTTTATCTTACAACGACACCCGATAACTTGTGCACCGGGCGCGGTGTGGTGTTTTATCGCACTTTTAAAAGACACGGTCTTGTGTGTGTGTGTATCTGTGTGTCTGTGTGTGTGCTCCACACTGGCCCGCAGCTCCATATGATTCTGAATGTCTGATCCTCCTTTGCCTGCACCAGGAGCTGGAATTACAGGTGTTTGCCACTACATTTGGCTTTTGGTGTGCCCGTGGGGGTGGGGTTGAATCCAGGTGAACCCAGGGCCTCATTCATGATACACAGCTAATCTACATGGATATCCAACCCTCTTGGTCTCAGTTTGAGCCAGTAAATCGAGCTCAACTTCTATCTGGGCATTATAACCCAAAAAGTGTTTTCAGATGTACAGTCTAAGTAGAAAGAAGAAAATTGCAGGAGGGGGGAAAAAAATAACAGCTGAAAGCCATTGGGTTTTTGTGTTATTTATTTTGTTGGGTGATTCTGTTTTTATTCTTAGTTGATGAGGAAACTGGGGCCCAAAAGAATGGCTGGGATTTAACTAGCTTTCTCACTCCAGGGTGTCTCTCTCTCTCTCTCTCTCTCTCTCTCTCTCTCTCTCTCTGTGTGTGTGTGTGTGTGTGTGTGTGTGTGTGTGTGTGTGTGTGTGCGCCTGCGTGTCCTTTTAGAATGTCTTTTGTGTTCTTGCTATCCAGTGTCACATAGTCTGCACATCTGCTCAGGGAAGGATGATGGTCAACCTTTGCAGTTTATTCAGGAGTGGGTGATTGCTGAGACTGCATTTGGATGAGTTGCTCACCCTGCTGGTCTGTTAACCACAGATTGTTATGTAGTAGCAAATTAAGGTCCATATCCATGGCGATTTGGCCAAGTAGGAAACAGATTTGTTTTGCCTCTTTTGTTAGGTTGAGCCCTCAGATGTTAGCCCTACTGTTTACTTACATGATAAACAATGAGGTTTGTCCTTGTTTTTTTTTTTTTTTTTTTTTTTTTTGTTTTTTTGTTTTTTTGGTATTTTTGTTTTGTTTTTAGACAAGGACTCACTGTGTAGCTTTTGCTGGTCTGGAACAGAGATCCAACTGCCTGCTGAAATTTGTGAGAACTTTATTTTTTTCTGGACACCCAGCTTACCAGTACCTAAACTCGGTATGGAGTATGGTTTGCTTCCTCCTATAACCCCGTAAGATGTTACCAGAAAAGGGTGTAGTCAGGGTTTAGTGCATTTTACTTTTCTCTTGAATTGATGGCAAGTCATGTGTCTTATACCTTGCAGAGTTCCCTTAAACCTATAATGGTTCTTTTCGACATTCCTGCCTTCCTTCTCATCTTTCTGACAGGGTCTCACATGGCTCAGGCTGGTCTTAAATTCAATGTGCAGCTGAGGATGAACGTGGACTCCCCTCCTGCCTTCACCTCCTCACTGCTGGGCTGCAGGTTTGTCCCACCACACCTGGTTTTATCAGGGCTTCACATATGCCGGGCAAGCACTCCACCAACTGAGCTAGCCTCCTATTGAACGTCAGAAGCAATATCGAGCAGACAAAGTACTTAGCTATCATTTGTTGAAGGCTGATTGCACACCTAGGCCCTGTGGTTGGTACACGTTTTACCAACCCTGCAGAGGTAGAAATACCTTCTTCATTTCACAGATGACAGCCCAGGGGTGGCTCCAGGGAACTGAGCAAATTACCTGAAGTTCCGCATGCGTGCTTTGGAGCCTGTCCTGCCTTTCTTTCACTGCTGTCTGCAGGGCTAGAAAATAACCGCTCTCAGTAGAAAATAACCGCACTCAGTAGTTGGCTGTATCTGGCTTGACTAAGACAGGAGCTGCTAGCCCTCTGGACTTGTAGGTCTCTTTGAAAAGCTGATGAATGCTACTAAGACTCTTCCAGAGAATGCACGTGCTGGATGCCGGGCATGTTCACGTTACAGTTCTTGGTCCCAGGATAGCTATGAATGTGGCCCAACACATCTGTAGGTGACATCATGCCACAATGTTAAAAGGTTGGACACCCCTGCAATGCCTACCAATTTTGCATATGATTTGGGGGACTAAATCAACTCCTTGATGTCCTTGCACCCCAGTTAAAAGTTCCTGTCTTCCAGCCCAAATGCAGCTCCGGGGATGTAGAAGTGGGTGGGAGTATAGCTGTGTGGCAGATGCTCGCCCAGCGTGTGAAGGGCCCTTGGCAACCCTAGCACCCTAGCACCCTAAAAAGGAAAAAGATGTGCTGTAGGAGCATCTGCCTTTAGGGATCGCAGGTACCAGTCTCTTAGCTGAGCCTGGGGGCCACCCCCTGGCTCAGAGTGAAGTAGCTCCATGCCTTTAACTCACTGACAGTGTCCTTAACCCTGGGAGAAAAACCACTTCAAGGAACTGTGTCCCCAGGGTGCCACACGCCTGCTTGTGGCCACTGTTTGGCAGTGCTACTCCAAGAAATGCCTGCTTTGGAAAGACAGAAAATAGCCAACCCCCAGGCCTCTTTGGCATCCAAATATTTCTGGGTATGATCTGACATAATTTAGATTTGAACTCAGAAACCCTTCACCACGGTTGCTTGTCAAACAGGTCCTGTAAGACCAGTGGTTCTCACCCTTCCTAATGCGACCCTTTAATACAGTTCCTCCTGTTGTGCTGACCCCAGCCATAAAATTATTTTCATTGCTACTTCATAATTGTAACTTTGCTGCTCTTATCAATTATAATGTAAATGTCTGTGTAAAAAGATTGCTCAACCCAAGGGGCTGTGACACCCATGCTGAGAACCCTTGCATTAGAGCCTTTCTCCTGAATTGCCTTTAAGGTCCTCATGGGGACAGAGTTATCTGTAAATGCATTCTAGGATTTGAAGGAGCAAAACACTGTAAACTGCCAAGGTAAGAAAGCCGCAAGTCTTCAGGGCTCTGTCTAGGAGTTCGATGATTCTATAGGTGAAGCGACCAGGACGCCAGTCTCTCCGCCCCGTGTCTGTTCAGTGTCCAGGGCTCCTCATGTTGATAGAGACCACAGGCTGAACCGCCATGCTGTGCACACATGGTGGGAAGGGCTCTTGGAGCACACATTCTGAAGACAGACTCAGTGCATGCAGAGTTGCCCCTTGGGATGGGAACCTGATGACGGAGAGGCCTAAGTTCCGATACTGTCTCTGTCCGACCACTGTGCTGTGTCTTGAGACTGCAGGCTGCCTTTCAACCTCTGGAGAAGTTTGTGTGTACACACCTCACGCCATAGCTTACAAGAAAGCAGTGGAGTGTGGGCGTTATGACTTGCTTCTGCTGCTGGTGGAAGAGCCAGCCATTCTTACCCTGCATTTATTATCCAGTCTGCAGTATTATCTGTACATGTGAATTTATATGTGTATCCAGTCTGCAGTGTTGTCTGTACATGTGTGCATATATATATATATATATGCACACATGCATACATATGTATACGTGTAGCTCTTCAGTGAGAGCCTTTTCTTTGTAAAGGACTTGAATTTTGTTTGTTTGTGTGTGTGTGTGTGTGCATGTGGGCAGACGAGGGCCTCACATTCCCCCGGCGGGAGCTGGCTGGCTTTACAGGCAGTTGTGAGCCGCCTGGTGTAGCCACTGAGAACATAGCTTGGGTCCTTTGGAAGCAGCAAGCCTCCTGACCATGGGCCATCTCTCCAGCATCATCAGCTTTTTGAGACAAGGGTTCTTTATGTATCCAAAGCTAGCTTCAAACTTGTGATCCTCCTGCTTCAGTTTTAAGTGGTAAGATGGGCAGCATGTCCAGCTAGTAGGACCTGTCTTTACATATACGTAGCTTTACTCTTTTTAGACCGTTGTCAAGTACACTTGTTCTTATTTTTATAAATAAAGGAAGGGTTGGTGTTTAATTTCTTTTCTAATATATTAAAGCCCCTTTACGGTTCTGCCCCATCTTCTAACTGAATAGGAGCTCATGTACCTGCATACACATGGGCATGCATATGTACACCTGACTCTGGGGACAGCTTGCTTGCATTAAAATCAAGGTCTGTCCATTTACTGGCCGTGTGGTTGGCCCAAGTTATCTAAACTGAGGTCCCTGATCATCTATGAAACAGTGATATCTGTGATGCCCTTTTGAGATGAGAGGTTAGCAGAGTTCTCCGCATACGGTAGGAGCTCAGGTGCCATTATCTGTTGTTATTTTATAGATTCTGTGTCATCTAGACACTCGGCTAGGTCTGCCACGTCAGGTGTTAAATACAAAACCAATCTCCATCACCTTGTAGTGGGTCCTCTCACTACATTAGAGTAAACACCAAGTCTCACTGTATGAATTAGGGCCATTGGAATGCATGGCGACGCTCTTGCAGTGAATCAGCCATTGGAATGCATGGCGACGCTCTTGCAGTGAATCAGATGGAAAGCTAGGCAGGTGGTGTGCTCCTGCTCAGCACACCATGCCCACACTCGTTTGTACCCAGAAACAGTCTTCGAGAGCCACTCAGGGTGTTTGCTTCCTGGTGAAACAGTGTCCCAGTTGGGGGAAATTCTGCCTTTTGGGCAAGTTGGCTTTTCTTTTTATTGTCAATACTAGGACTTTTATTAATTACTGTTTTACATTTGGAGCTTGTTTACAAGTGGTCCTATAGAATGATGGGGTAGAGTCACAGACAACTCGTAAGCAGGACACATTGTGATTCTTACAGCCTTGTGCCCCTCTGCTGTCTCAGGACGGGTGGTGCGCTTGGCTGTTGCCCTGCTGTGTAAGATACCCGCCTGTAACTTCCCGATTGAAATTCTACAGCAAGCTAAACCTCTTTTCCAGGCTGCAGAAGATGTCAATGTTACTTTCGAAGACCAACAAAAGATAAACAAGTTTGCTCGAAACACGAGTCGGATCACGGAGCTGAGGGAGGAGATAGAAGTGAAGAAGGTACCGAATACACCTCTGTTCTAGAAGTTTGTACTGTATCCCTTAAAATGGAACCGTGTTCAGCAACTGTTAGCTTCCTCATGGCTGCTTGTCCCTGGTGACACTGTCTGTCTGGTCAGTTAACACAAAGTCTGATTTTGTTTGTTTTGAGGTAGGGTCCTGCCTTGTAAAACTGTCCATGTAGCCGAGGCTGTCCTCCAAGTCACCGCCTGCCTCAGCCTCCTTATGTGCCTGCAGGCCCAGCTCACAAGGTCGTTTGTGCCCCTGAGAGGGGTGGGGCAACAGAGTGAGTGACGGTTTTGAGTGTGCCTCGGTTTCCCCAGTGCAGTTCTGTGCCGTGCCCGAGGATTTTCCTGGGGACAAAACTGCATGTGTGTTTAGCGGTCCTGGGCCTCACAGACGTGGTGACACGAGCTGCTGCTGCTGCATGGCCTTTCACTCTGAGGCCTGTGCTTGGCTTTTTGTCTGGTTCTCTCAGTACCCCAGTTGAAGTGCACGCATCAGATTTAACTGTTCATGCTATCTACCCTCCTGGGCAAGCAAGGCTGAGAGGGAAGGTGTGTTTTCTAGGCTTTGGTCTTTGTTTCTGTGGATTGACAGGATTTGCAGCATGGGGGATTGTTAAGTAGAAGTGAGTGGCCATGGACACCTGCTGACCACCACAGAGAAAGGAGTGTCTTGATACTTCCAGAGCTACCCAGAGGATGCTGAGCTAGAGCTACCCATAGGATGCTGAGCTGGCTCCTAGTAAGCCCATGGTCACATGTCCACGTCTGACAGCAATGCTGAGCACTGGTCCCTCAGAGAGCCCATATCCCTGCATTAGAGTCACACTGTCAGGAAACCATGGCTGTATTTTCATGGCTCTTCTCTTCCTGACAGAAACACCTTCAGAATTTAGAAGATGCTTGTGACGACATTATGCTGGCAGATGACGACTCCTTCATGATCCCGTACCAGATCGGAGATGTTTTCATTAGCCACTCTCAAGAAGAAACCCAGGAGATGTTGGAAGAAGCAAAGGTGTGTGTGAGTCTGGCCTGGGAGACGAAATCTAACCCTCGGATTGGGAAGCAGGTCCTTATACAAATGCATAATTGCAGGTGGGGGAGACCATGGTGCCAGCTAACATATAAGGGGTTGGCGCAGCGTCCCAGGCTCTGAGCTTTGCCAGCGTGGTTTTATTAATCCACACAGCACAATTTAGAGTGAGGGGACAAAGGTTCCTGGACTTAGCGAAGTGGCACTTGACTGTGGGCTTCCGGCCCCCAGAACTTTGTTTCCAGCTGCAAACACTGAGTATGCACTAAGAATTATAAAGTAGAAAGGGAACCCTTGGGAGCCCCACCATCAGTGGTGAACCCGCTTTTCTGTTAGTCCCCTTCCCCCCTCTTCTTCCCAACCCTCTGCTCCACATGTGCAACAGTTAACATTTTGAGGGAACATTTTCTGTATTGGATGCTGGTTTATTCAGCACGCTGATCTGGGACCACATCGGCCTGTAACATCACCGTCTTCTGACATGTTTGAGGCCATCTTAATACTGTGTTGATGGGTATTGGTTTGCTTACTGTGCCTTTAGTAGGATTAGTTTGTGTCTGATATTTTGCTGTAGTGATGTTCCGGTGAGTGATCTTATGCATACGTAAGTGGTTGTTCACATTTAGAAGCTTGTTCTGAGGAGATAAGGAGAAGTGTGATTCCGGGCTTGAAGCTGGCAGCTTTGGCAGTGCCCCGTGAGAGGGCGTGTGAAATTCCCTCCACAAGGCTTCCAGCCACCTGGTGTGTGAGAAGCTGGTGACAGTTGCCTCTGACATTGTTGCCTTATTAGCGTGAATGTTACTTAAAATGATAGCCCCTGCTTCAGATTTCTAAGACAAAACGCCCCATGGCTGGAGTGTGTATCCAATAAACCTTGAGAAGGGGTTGGAGAGATGCTGGGTTCAAGTCTTAGGGACTGAGACTGTAGCCATGGCACCACGATGAACTGGGATCGACTGGAGTTAAATGTTTGCAATGCAGGCTTCGGGCTTTGATCTAAGTATTGCAGTCAGTTTGCTCCTGACCAGCTTAGAGTTCTTTACCTAAAATTCCTGCCGAATATAATCCCAGACCACGTGTTCTTAAGTCATCCAGCTGCAGCCAATTAATTTAAATCGTTTTTTTTTCCCCCCAGAAAAATTTGCAAGAAGAGATCGATGCCCTAGAGTCCAGAGTGGCATCCATCCAGCGGGTTTTAGCCGACCTGAAAGTGCAGTTATATGCAAAATTTGGCAGCAACATAAACCTTGAGGCGGATGAGAGCTGAACGTTTTATAATACTTTTTTTTTTAACCTTGTTTAATAAACTTGAATATTGTCTTAAATGATAATTCCCCTTCTTCAAATGAAACGAAAGGAAAACTTTCTTTTTAAAAAATTTTCATTTAATTAATGGAAATTTGCCTATTTTCACATGTCTTGCTTATTTATTTTATATTTTTAAAAGAAGACAGTATTCATGTATGTATTTTGCATAATGATTTTATCAACTTTAGGGGCTTTATGTCATGTTATTAAAACCAGTTAAACGGTCTTTGTTTCTACGTTATCATTTTAAAGTTCTTGTAATTTCCATTCTTAAGAAACCTGACGAAGCTAAGCTAAAGAGAGTGGTGGCCTCAGAGCCAGATCCCACCCAGCTGAGCTAGGCTTCCACCTTGTGGAAAGGAATTAAAGAAAAGCTTAGAGCCGGTGATGGCACACACCTTTAATCCCAGCACTGGGGAGAAGAGGCAGGTGGATCACTGTGTGTTCAAGGCCAGCCTGGTCTATGAGCAAGGCTGCACAAGAAACCCTGTCTCAAAGAGAGAGAGAGAGAGAGAGAGAGAGAGAGAGAGAGAGAGAGAACTGGATCAGTCCGTGGGTATGCATGTGCCTGTCAAGTCTGATGAGCTGAGTTTGATCTCTGGGACCCTGGTGGAAGGAAAGGGCCAGCTCCCCTGAGTTTTCTTCTGACCTCCACATGCTCCCCCTCACCTGCAACGTAGGGAAGTAGCTGCTGATGTTTCAGGCAAGGAGGAGGGTCTTTGTTTTTTAAAGATTTGTTTATTTTTGTTCATGCATGTGTGAGTCTGAGTGTGCTATGTGTGTACAGTCCCCATGGGGCCAAGGGTTTAAGATCCTGTGGATCTGGAGGCATGAGCAGTTGTGGTCAGCCACAGGATGTAGATGCTGGGGACTGAACCCAGGTCTTCTGCAAGAGCCTCTTTCCAAGAAGATTTTATGTATTTTGAGGTAGGATTTCACCATGTAGTCCCGGTTAGCCTGGAGCTCCTCCTGGAGACTAGGCTGGCCTTGCTCTCACAGAGACCCACCTGCCTGTGCCTCCTGATTAAAAGCATGTGACACCAGACCTGGCCTTTTCCTCTTCCTTATCATGGCCTGTTGCTATGTCCATGAATTCAGTGGCTGATGGTGAAGCCCAACAGTGATGCTCGGCCTACACCTGCCTGCATTTCTTCCTTCCCAGCTAACACATGCTAACTCATGTAGGGATATGTATAACCTACATGTCGTAGGCCTGTGTAACATATGTATCTTATCTGTTACGGATATTGGTAATATCCAGACCGATGATCATGTCAATTTTCATACAAACAGAAAAATAAGATGTCTTAGAGATTGAGCTCTGTAGAAAGAATTGCTTACTTGTTTTTAAGCATTTGTGTGTGGGTGTGTGTGGAAGTCAGAGACAACGTTCGGGGATTATCCCGTTCCACATGTAGGTTCAGAGGATTGAACTCAGGTTGTCTGGCTTGGCTGCAAGCACCTTTACCTGCTGAGCCATCTGCTGCTCCCAAAATGTTTATGCTTTTAATTAAAGTTAGCTTTAGGTTTGTAGTCTTTGTGAGTAAACACTCATGTTGACAAAGATGTAGACATTAGGCCACTGTCTTTAAAAGCAAGAGTTATTTTTGAGATGAGTACATAGTCTCATCCCTTCCCCTTAGAGACATGTGTATTTGTTACTCTTCTGTTGTTGTGATGAAATGGTATCTTGCAGAAGGGACAAATGCCTGACTCCAATTGGAAAATGGGTCACGGCATAGTCAAGAATCCCATAACAGATCTCCATGAGTTCAGGGCCAGCCTGATCTACATAGTAAGTTCCAGGACAGCCAGAGCTACATATTAAAGACCCCACCTAAAATAAATAAACAAACAAACAAACAAATAAATAAATAAATAAATGTTTGTTAGAAAGGTGGCTCAGTAGTTAAGACTGCTTGCTCCTTTCTGAGGAGCCAAGTTTGGCTCTCAGCATCCACGGCAAGTGGCTCACAACTGCCTGTCATGGCAGGGAAGGCATGGAAACAGGAGCTGAGATGTCAGCTGACAGCCCACAGCAGAGAATGAACTGGAAGTGGAGGAGGCTATAAATTCTCAAAGCTCCCTCCCCTATCGTGATAGACTTCCTCCAGCAAGGCCCCAGCTCCTAACCTCACCAGGCCCCAGCTCCTAACCTCACCAGACCCCAGCTCCTAACCTCACCCAACAGGGAACAGTGGAAGGGCTGTGCACCAACTTCCCAGCAGATGGCACTAATGTTCCAGAATACCTCGGGAAGAGAAGGAACCTGGCTACTCTCAGGATTAATAGAATCATAGAAGGGTCAGCATTGCAATGTGACAGTTCTGGAAAATTATTGTAGTTAAGCTTAAAGATGGATGGATATATAATTATTTCTAAAATTCTTAACAAGGACACTTGTTTTAAGATTTTATTTGGGCTTCCCTACTGACAAATCGCAGGTGCCTATTGAGGTCAGAGGAGGGCGTTCATACCCTCTAGAGCTGGAGTTACAGGCGGTTGTGAGCCACTTGCCGTGGACGCTGAGAGCCAAACTTGGCTCCTCAGAAAGGAGCAAGCAGTCTTAATTACTGAGCCACCTTTCTAACAAACCTTTATTTATTTATTATTTATTTATTTGGTTAATGTGCTGTTAGAGGCACGAGGCTGAGGTAATTCAGTCAGGAAGTAGGCAACAGTGAGGTCCAAACCAGCCTGGGCAGTGTAGGGAGGCTCTCAAAAGCCCGTACCTGGGTTTGGAAGGAGCCCAGTCCTTAAAAGACGGGGCCAGCTCTGCTCTTGCAGAGGACCAAGTGCCCGTGCTGGGAGGTTCACAGCTATCTGTAACCCCAGTTCCAGGGTCTGGCATCTGGGGTGCCGGTACCCACACGCACATTATTAAAAACAATATAAAAACACAAAACCCAAATCAAGGAGATTCAGCCATGAGGGTTCTGCCCCGGAAACGGATCAGTGTTGCCGTAGGGATTTACTCCAGAGTGAGTCTGGTCCCTCTTGATTGCCCTTCTACCTTCCTTGGGATGACACAGCAGCAAGGCCTGCCTAGATGCTGTCTGTGCCCTGCAGCTTCCCAACCTCCAGAGTTGTAAGAAGGCAAACGGTTCTTTAGAAATCACCTGCCCCAGGCAGTCTGTTTTAACCACGTAATCAACTAAAACACAAGCCTGGGATGATTCTGAAACAGAGAAGACTGGCTTGGGTGAGATAATTGTTTTCTTTAGGGGTCATCGTGGGTGCTAGAGCTGCCCAGACCATCCATGGACCAGGCTACAGGGGCATCTTGTTCTTCAAGCCAAGGGCTTAGGGGTGGAGGGTGGCTGGAGGCATCGTGGCTGCGGGGAGTGAACGGATCATAAAAGGTGATGTGAAAGTATTCTTACAAGGAGAGAAGGAGGCAGGCTGCAGCTTAGTGCTGATGCTGGGTGGAAAGAAAAGGGTCAGGGAAAACAGTGTGCCTGTTACCCTGTCTCTAGGGTTGGATCCCGGTGCAGCCCCGTCAAGCTGGCCTTGGCCACTTGGAACAGGCCAATGAAACAGTCATGTAATGGGGGGGGGGCAGAGAGTGGAGGGAGGGAGGAAGTTTACTTGGTGGCTGCAATGGGAAGAGGGACAAACAGGTTCGGTGGCTTCACCCAACCTAAGTCTGCTGTTGAGAGTGCCAACGTGAGATTTAGGTTTAAACAGAGGGCAAGAGACATGCGCAGCTCAGTGGTTCTGCTCAGAGTGTGTTTCTGCCCCTCACTGAGCATCTTTGCCTCTGCTCCAGTGTCTCCTGCAATGTGGTCAGGCAGGCTGTCACAGCTCTGTGAAACGGTCCAGCCTGTGGCTTTCATAGTATTGACACAAAACCACAGCTCTCACCCCAAAAGCGATGAGACAGTTTATTCTGGAGCCAAGTGGGAGTGCCCACAGCCAAGGAACACACATTTTCTTACCCCAAATTCCATGTTCCGACAGGAAGTAGTTCAGTGACGTTTTTATAGAAACAGAACAAAGAAAGGCGTGAATCAAAACATTGGCAGAGACATCAGAGAGACGGGCATAGCCAAATAGACAAGCCTCAGCTATGGGCCTCAGATGCTGCCTGGTAGTATTCTTAGCCCTCAGATGGGTGGAAAATGGGGTTTTTGTTAAGTTAATACATTCCAAAGGCTTTTATCTGTTAGTCACAGATGTTAGAGCAGATGCAGAAGTGGGCAAGGCATGGCTATTTAGGGGCTAAGGATAGCCCAAGAGAAGTTATAATTAGCCCCCGAATCTGCAACATTCCAACCTCTCCACCCTCTGTAGTTTCACTCAGTCAATCAGCTGTTGCTGACACAGCTTCTTTCCAGGAATTCTTGTTTATGTAGGTGTTGGGGTTCTGACAGGACATGCCTTCAGCTGCAGCCACTAAGAGCACCACCTGTGCATCTCTATCTACGTTCCCTTTTAAAGGGGCCCTGCCCACCTCTCTCCTCTTCTTTCCTCTCTCTACCCTTTTCTTTTCTCCTTTCTCTTCGGCTTCTGTCTCCAGAGGTCAGCCTCCCCCTTGCTTTCCCCCTTTTATGATCCTGTCTCCTAATAAGAAAAACCCCTCTGCGTGAACCCTGCCACACGGTGTCTTTCTCATGTCATCGCTCTTCTTAAATTACAAAGGTGGGTAACCTGGACACATTGCCTCCGTTAGGGTTTCCATGAATGCTAAGAAAATTTCCCAGCCTGAGCCTCTTCCTCCTGAAAGAAAAAAAAAAGGAGGAAGGAGGAGGAAGGAGGAAGGAGGAGGAAGAGAAGGAAGAAGAGAAGGAAGGAGAAAGGGAGAAGAGAAGGAAGAAGGAGGAGGAAGAAGAGAAGGAAGGAGGAAGGAGGGAGAGAAGGAGGAGGAAGAAGAGAAGGAAGAAGGAAGAAGAGAAGGAAGAAGGAAGAAGAGAAGGAAGAAGGAGGAAGGAGGGAGAGGAAGAGAAGGAGGAAGAAGAGATGGAAGGAGGAAGAAGAGAAGGAAGAAGGAGGAGGAAGAAGAGAAGGAAGAAGGAAGAAGAGAAGGAAGAAGGAGGAAGGAGGGAAAGGAAGAGAAGAAGGAGGAGAAGGTAGAGGAAGAGGAAGAGGAGGAGGAGTCTTGGCATAAAGAGAAATATAACAGAGACTGTTCCATTAACTCTCCTCTGACCAATTTTAAACAAAAAGAAATACTTCCATGGGGCCGTGAGAGGCCGCGGCCTTAGATGTCTACCCGTTGTACCTGGT